AAGTGGAAAACATTCTTTAAAAGAATTCTTTAAACAAAAAGAACAGTCAATGAAGGACAGGTTCACAGGTCTTTGTGCCATAGGTGGGAAATAAATGACCTTTGTCATACGTTAAATATTCGTAACCACCCTGACCATACCCAAAAGTAAAACAACACATCTAGAATAGGTACAAATTATATACATTTATTTTTTTTAATAATTTTAAATAACACTCTGGTATAAATTCTTTCATATATTCAAATCATACACAAATTTAGAAATGCATCATGAAGCCTAGTACAGCGTATGTATGAGATACGTTTTTAAGTTTGTGTTAGGATTTTAGTGACATAAACACAAGTCTGATGTTTCAGAAACATTTCCTAATTGCTTTGGCTGAAATTTAACATTGTACAGAGTGCTTGTGCCTAGCATCGAGACTTGCTTTTAAACCCTTTAGCTTCTGGGTTGAGGCAGATGCGGAGCTCTGGGCTCACAACCTAGAGGAGCTGTCGCAGTTTCTGCGTGTGTGCAAGTAACAGGGAAGAAAGGTCCCTGATTGCCTTCAAAAAAGCATCATTTTAATGATCCGTAATCTTTAGGCCATTTGATATTATTTGACTCTTTCAGATGAGTTAATGTGGTCTTCCTGCTGCCCCTGTGGCAGTCATTGGTGCAGGGTCAAGAGAAACATACATTAACCTTCCATTAGTCTCCTGCACACATCACCCTCATTCTAGCTCCCGAGTTCCTTCTCTACAGGTCATAACAGACCAACAGTTCTTTGTGGATGAGATCAGAAGTGTTTCCCCTGCTCTAACAGATTACTGTGGGCTTCTTTTTACTTCTCTGAGCTTTCTGTCAGAGAGCTTTCTTTTGAGACGTATAATTTCAACTCCCACCCACATACCCCAAAATATAAGAACCAGGGGGTGTTCATCGTAAGTGGCGTTATGTTGACCATATGTCCTGGCTGGACCAAGGTGGACAATCTAACAACCCAGTTCCAATTGAAGCTGTCAAGGGGAAGTAAAGATGCTTTCAGCTCTGTCTCTAAATCAGCACAAGGGCTAGAGGTCCTGACAGCGCTCAGCTGACCAAAATGAATGAGGGGATCACTGTGTTGCTTTAATGGTCATTTTTCCAGGGAATATTCAAACTAGAGTCAAGAGAAGCAATGTAATTTGAGGATCCTACAAATGCTCCCCAAAAAGTCTCTCTCCTCCCATCCCATGACTGTTCAGCGCTCCCCTTAAAATCCAGGTATTCCTGGGAAGATGAATGCTTTAGGCCTGCAAGACTTTAATATAATGAAGCTTAGCTTTATTACCACTTTTCTCTGTAAGTGGAGAAATTCCATTAATAGCAGAGCTCCGGTTGCTAGAGGATAGAGGGAGGAAGGGGAAAGTCAGAGAGGACAAAGATTTCTTAACATTATCTAGGGCATCTTATTATCAGAAATGTATATGGATTTACAAAGGTGAATTAAAGGTAAAAGTATCACTTAATAGCAAGCGGTCTGTATCTGTCATTTATCAATACAATTCAATCAATCTTATTTAAAAATAAACACACTTACAAACCTTAGAAAAAATTATTTCAGTATCAGGCTTTCTGAAGGACTGACGGGACGCTGCTGCCGGATGCCACAGCCGACGGGGATCAGGCCTTTAGAGGAAAAGACACTCCATACTATTTTTCCAGTCTGATTTCAGTGGTAGGTCACTTCATAATTGACTTATATTTTAGAATAAAATTATTTCCACAAGCAAAAAGCCAGGAACACTAAAGTATATTAAAAAAAAAGAAAACTTAAGACCTTAATTTTTTTTCCATTGGGAAAAATGAAGAACATGACCTAGGAGATATTAGCAAGTACTTAAAAGATAAACATTCTCTCCAATTCAATTTTTGCAATACCGTTTAAGGTCTGTTTTAAGGAATTGCTACCTATTCAAAATCCTAACTATTTTGCTTTGGCTCTAGACTCTTAACAAAAACACTCCTTCTTTCTTAACTGGGTTAACTCTTGCTTAACAAGGATTTATTTCTCGCTGTCCTCAGATCCTGACTTTTTTGGGAAGTGGGTATCTGGGAGGGGCTTGATGTTAAGCACTCAGCTGCTAGCTGAAAGGTTGGTAGTTCAAACCCACCCAGTGGGAGAAAGACCTAGTGATCTGCTCTGTAAAGATTCCGGCCCAGAAAACACTATGGGACGGGTCTGCTATGGGTGAGAATCGACGGCACCTAACAACAACAGTGCATCTGGGAGAGAGGCAGCTCTGTGGGATTCGCAGTGGAAAGTCTGCACAGGCATGTGCTAGGAAAGACAAGTTCATTTTAACAAAGTATGAACTGGCAGTACTGTTTTCTTATCTCTAATACCAGCTTCAGATAGTAAACCTCCTGTACTTCCAGCAGTGCGACCCTGGGTTGCATGGTAATTAAAAACGTGTAGAAACATTCACAGAAGAGACTATTCCTCCCAGCCTTCTTGTGTCGTGAGTAGCCAACTTCTGTATTATAGTGGAAAGAACGTGTGCTTTGGAGTTACGAGTCCTGACGTCAAGCCTATAATGACACATGCAGGGCAGCCTTGGGCAAGATAGTTAACCCCTCAGTCTCCTTACGTATAAAAGGGAGACAATAATTATTTCCTCAGCTACAAGGAGGAACAAAGGACACACATACAGAAAAGTGCTTTGCAAACTTCGAAGGGCTATAACTCACGATCACTGAGTCAATTCTGACTCATACTGACACCCATTGGGTTTCCAAGGCTATAAATATTTATGGAAGCAGACTGCCCCATCTTTCTTCCACAGAGTAACTGGTTGGTTCAAACCACTGGCCTGTTGGTTAGCAGCCAAATGCTTTAACCACTATACCAGCAGAGCTCCTTGCAAAGGGCTATAAGAAATGTGAAATAACTTTAAGGTGCTATTGTTGTTACATGCCTGCGAGTTGGACCCGACTCATAGCGACCCCTCCTTGGGTTTCTGAGGCAGTATCACTACGAAATAGTGCCCAACCTTCCTTCCGAGGAGTGGCTGGTGGCTTTGAACCACCAGCCTTCTGGTTAGCAGCCAAGTGCCTTAGGCACCACGCTACCAGAGCTTTAAGGTAATGTAATGCATCTTCTTATGAGCAATGGCCAAAATATGCAGAGCACACCAGGCCATCAAAGGTAGACGACCTGCTTGTACATCCTCCAGAGCATCATCTCCAAACCCTGAGGACAACCTGGGGACCTCCTACAGAAGAATGAGCAGTTTCCAGGGTTTTCTCTGGGGATGTCAGGCAAAGGCGTCAACTTGGATGTCCTGGGTCAAATCTAATAGAAAGTCTTTACTCTTTTTTTTTTTTTTTTAAACCACCTTACAGTTTGCTGCTGCTCCTAGTCATATCTATTTTTGACTTCTGGCCACCTTCTCTGGCTTAATCTACAATTTGTCAATATCATAATACATGAGAATAACAGTGCATGGCCTCTAGGAAAAAAAAAAAAAAAAAAAAAACTGCATCTAAAAGCAAAGACTAACTAATACACCCAATACAGAGCTACCCTCTAACTGGACAAGAAGATGGGAGAAACGCAGCACCTCCAGGAGACGGCACCCACCTCACGGCAGATGAGTAACAGGGTACGCAGAAATGGAGGCAGGCGTATTTAGTGGATTGTGGCGCACGGGCATAGAAATATTTCACAGGCATGAAAACTGGGGATCCCACATGCTATGATGGCTTTTCTTTTTGAGCGAAAATATTTCTAATTCCTTTGGAAGACTATTTTTTGTGTTTAGGGAAAAAAAAAGCTTTTTCAAAATAAGGATCTGTTTCACATTAATCTATGTAAATGTGAAGTCTTATATAGAGTGGCTAGAGTTTAACTGGGTGAGTAGTTTGGGGGTGTATGATCTATGTCCCACCTTAACAAACATTGACTTCAAAATGTATTGCTTGAATCTACACCCTTTGTAAGTCAAAGGGCATATAACTTGACTTTTGGATTGAGAAAGGGAAAGAAAGATTAAAAACATTCAGCCTCTTACAAATGTCAACAATGTCCAAAGAGGGACTAAAAATGACTGATGCTCACCAGAGTCCCAGCTCTAGCAATACTGCCATCTATTTTACAATATTTTAACCAATCCAATCCTAATATTTTCTTTTTACAATGCCATTAACTGCTGTACAAATAAATTCTAGATAAAATATGACACGATTTTTTTTTACAAGTAGATACAAATGTTGACCAAATATGCTACATTAACTATGTACACCTGATTTCTCTGGAGGCAGGAATATTCCTTATTTTCAGACAACTGATCATTTACACTGAGACCCTGAGGAGGACTGCCCGCTTCCACTCCTAGACGCTGCCTTCCTTCTCTCTCTACCGTTAGAAGCTTATGCTGTGCTTTAATGCCTCATTGAGCAAGAATCCTGGAAGGAGAAATGAAACCCTTCTAACGATCTTCTTGGGACTTCTCTGCCCCTATTTTAGAAACAATCGAGATTGCTTCTTGTGATACACTCTGGAAATGAGCTTTTCCCCAATGACATCTTTTAATACATTAAAATGAATTTCATCCCTGACCCCCCCTTTAAAAAAAAAAAAAAGTGTTTCAGGAATGGAGATGAAGTCTTTCAGCAGTCTTTTCCCTCTCCACATCCACCATTCTGTTAAAGGTGGTTTGGTGAACACTTTCCCAAGAGTCTGGATGTCAAAGTGAATTTGGGCTGTACAATGTGGTTTAGCTTTTCTATACACCCACGTAGTTTGGTACAAAAATATACTTTACTTCAAGTCCTTAACAACAGTGAATGCTTCAGATCTTCAGGGGAAACTATGACTATTAGGCTAAGTGCATTACAAATTTGTACCCGAAAATTTCAGATGCATTATTTGCCTTTGCTTGCTCAGCAAACTCTATCCAGGCTTTGTCTGGCCAAAGGGCTGATGCTGTCTTAGTATGTACTGTGGTTTAACAATCCAGGAGAATGGGTCTGTCTCCCTAGGCTTTGTAGTTATGCATGGGTGTTGTCAGGGTCAGTTGTCCATTGGGAGCCACTTCATTGCCATCATCTTCCAACAATCCTGACACATCTGCATTGGGAATGCTGTCATGGTAGCTGCTGAAACTGATATTGTCTTCTTTCAGCTCGATGGTCCAAAAGGGGGCATTCAATTTCCGGTTTTGGTACTCCCGGTACATATAGACAGCCCCCACAAATCCCATCAGCAGCACCACCACAATGATGATGACTGTCAAAATGATGATGTTAAACTGGGTCCATGATACATCAGCTAAAGCTGAAGTACTGTTTTCAGAAGAGCTTACTGAAAAGATAGTCTGCAGGGTGGTGGGGGCAACTGTACTATTTATAACAGGGGTGGGCACTGATGTGGTCAAAGAGGCATTGGAAACCAAAATGGTTGAACCTTCAGGTGTTGGAACAATAACTTCTGAAAATAAAAAACAGAGAATGAAATGTAAAAGACAAAATTATTCAGCTTTGAGAAACAATAAAAGAAATACACATGGGAGTGGAAGTTGATGTGGGATGTTGATATGATATTTTTCTTTAAGGTAATGCAAGTTAAAGACAGTTTTTAAAGAAATATAATGACAAAAGTCAGAGTCTGGAAAGCTAGGCTACCACGTTCATGGCTCTTCTCTAACACATGTTGTTGTTGTTATGTGCCGTCGAGTTGGACCCAACTCATAGCAACCCCTCCTTGGGTTGCCCAGGCAGTATATCACCACGGAAGTAGATTGCCCAACCTGCCTTGCAAGGAGTGGCTGGTGGGTTTGAGCTGCCAGCCTTCTGGTTAGCAGCTAAGTGCCTTAGGCACTATGCTACTCAGAGCTCATATAAAATCTATATTAGATCTTAGGAAAAATTCCAATGTTGTAGTTTTCTACCCTTCTTTACTCTTAGATAGATTAGTACAAATTCTTGAGAAGTCAGTAAATATGTCACTACTGAGTTCTAAATTACTTGGTTAAAAGTGACAGGGAAAGTTGGTAATCATTTGAACTAAAATAAGTCCAACATGTTGTTGTTACGTGCCATCGAGTCGGACCTGACTCATAGTGACCCTTACTTGGGTTTCCAAGGCAGTAACACTACAGAAGTAGATTGCCCCATCTTCCTTCCGAGGAGTGGCTGGTGGGTTTGAACCGCCAGCCTTCTGGTTAGCAGTCAAGTGCCTTAGGCACTATGCTACCAGAGCTCCAATGTATCTGATAGCATTTCACAAGGGTAAAATTCTTCCTCAAATGAAGTGAAAACAAAATTGGAAAAACTGTGCTTTTAGTTATATCTAAAAAACACAATTTAAATGTCCAAAGTTGATGTCAGCCATGGGAGAAAACAGCCTTCCTTTCATTCCGTGCGTAATTCTTCCTTTGTGTAGATTATAGCTCTTTTATAATTACGGTACTATACTTTTTAACTCTGATGGCTGTAAAGCTTAGTGAAAAGACTTTGAAATCAAAAAGAACTGTGTGCCTGTAGATAAGTCAGTCTTTTTAAACTTGAGCTTCTTCATTTGTAAAATGGGAATAATAATATCTACTTTGCAGAGTTCTTGGGAAGGATTAAATGAGATGACGTACTATACAAACATCATCACATTTAATGTTGGCAGTGCCTGGCACATAGTAGGCACCCAATAAACAATTCTTACCAACATTCATTCAGCATCTATTAGGATATAAAAGATTAGTTTGTAGAAGAGCACAGTCTAATCATTCTATGACCAAATAAAACCTGAATACCTGTCATTCACCCTAAATGTATAATCATCACTAATTTTATATGAACCCTTACTTAATTTCTCTGTAAGAAACACTTTCCTACGTAAATAACTTTTTCTTTTAAAAACCAGAATCAAAAGGATTTTTATATACTTAAATATCCAAATGAATATTCTTATTATTTCCTCCATCATACATGATGAAACAGGCCCAAAGTTAGTATAGATGCTAGAATGAACTCTAGTTTCTCAGCTGGGCCTTCTAACAAGATGATAGGTCCCTGCTTGGAAAGACCTTTGATGACCACTGAAGTGATGAGAATACAGGAAGTAAAGGATAAAAGAAATGATAGGACTTTTAAATTATTAACAGAAAAAAAAAAAAAAAAAAAGAACAGAAAATGTGAGAATACTGCAATGATTTTTGTCTTGGTCCTCAAATTTCAGGAGTTGACTTTGGAGTGTCAGGACAGCAGCAGGAATAGAAGAAAACTCTTTATGCAAATATCTATCAAATCTATGTCCAGAAATCTCTTCTGATGGGATTGGAAGATTTTACAAAGCTAAAGGTGCTGTCCTCAAATTTTCATTGCTAGGCTTAAATATTAAATTTACAACTTGAGGTGAAGTTTTACCTTTCTTGATGCAATTTCCCTCGAGGTCTGGAACATAACCTTCTAGGCAGTTCTCACACCAAAACCCAGTTGTGTTATGGAGACAGTTAATGCATTCACCACTCTCAGGCTTGCAAATCTTTGGGGTTTTAACTGGGTCCACATGGCCATGACATTGGCACTTTACACAGATGCTGTCAGAATTGTAATAGCCATTTTCACATTTATTGCAGTTCTGGCCCGTGTAGCCATCTTTACATTGGACACATTTAGGTTCCAATTCACCCAATTCTAAAAGAGACAGAACACCAGTATAATTTAGTACAGTCTAAATGACAATTAAAATTGCAAAACAACTACCAGTCCTCAAAAAAAACGTTTACAAACCTTTTGTCCGTTCTATTGGTACTACTGATTTTTAACAGCTTCTTTGAAACATACTCATGTATCATACAACTCACACATTTAAAGGGTACAATTCAGTGTTTTTCAGTATAGTCAGAGTTGTGCAACTGAGAAAGAATTTTAATTTACCATTTACTATCCCAATCCTCAGAAGGAAGATGGGGCAATCTACTTCTGTAGCGATACCGCCTGGGAGACCAAAAGAGGGGTCACTATGAGTTGGGTCCGACTCAACACCACATAACAACAGCAACAATCCCAATCGGTAGTATGATCTCAAGTAAGTTACTAATCTCTGGACCTCAGTTTTCCATCTTTATAATAAAGGAATTGAGCCCGGTGATACATAGATTGCTTTTTTGCAGTAAAAGATGGCAGTTGAATGAATTCAACATCCATTCAAACAATGGTATGCAAAAAAACAAACAAAAAACTCAACAAAAGAGCATACTCCTTGTTCTGAAGGAGATTATAGCTCATAAGCACCGTATATGTGCACCACTGTTGTGTGGCAACACACTATATACCAACAGTAACTAATGTGGAAAAAATGTTTGATAAAAATAGACTGAAAAAATTGAGATCAAGGATCGTAAAAGTCTTTCATGTATAGACCAGCTGGACTTCAAGACATGACATTCAATGGTCAGAGTACAACTGCCTCATAGGGTGGAACAAGGCTGTAAATCTTTATGGAAGCAACTGTCTCACCTTTCTCCCACAGAGCATCTGGTGGTTTAGAACCTCTGGCCTTTCGGTTAGCAGCCAAATGCTTTAACCACTGTGTCACCAGAGCTCCCAGAACTATGTACAGTGGATGCAAAAGAGTGGGAACACTTACTCTTACAGTGGGAGAATATCAGCAAAGGCTTCAGAGACGAGGTGATATAAAAGCTGAGGCTTGCACTGAGTGTTGACATTTAGCAGATGGTTAGGAGAAGGAAGGATATTTCAGATAAAGGGATCGTTATAAGCAAAGGTACAGAAATGTTTAAACAACTTTTAGATCAAGGAACTTGTTAGAAATGGCAGAAACAGTAAAAGGGAGAAGTGGAACATATTCTCCTTATGATCACAAAGAGATAGAACTCAGTGGTTTCCATTTTTTTTTTTTTAAGTGAAGAACATTCCTACCCACCCAAATAAAATTTTGCTCATTACCCAAAACGTAAAAAAGGTTAAGTGCTTCTCTAGTCAAAATAAGAGATAGAAATCTGGAATTCACTTCTATTCCTCTCAACACTCAACACTCACTCCAACTAAGAGGAAACCATGAGGCAACTCAGAGTAAATCTAGGGCTCACAGGAACACAATGTAAAAACCATTGGACTAAAATGCTCATCTTCTAACTATGAGCATTTTTCCAAAACTTACAGTGATCCATAATTGTGTTTAGCTGTTACAATTCTTAAGAGTCTTAGGATGACACATGAAGTTTCTAAAACCTATACTCAAAAAACTTTGAGACCCAAAACCCTTCTTCAAAAGAACAAAGTAATCACTTGGAAAACACATAATTTGAGGGTGGAGATAGTAGGGAGTTAACTCCTGAGACAAGGTGGGGGAGTTTGTATGGAAATAGAGATGAACCAAGACTTGCTAGGAATGGTTAATTGTTGAGAATAGATGATGGATATATTAGATTAATTATATTGATTATTCTCTCTGCTTTTGTATTAAAAAATAAAAAGAATACCACCAAGAATATTGTTTACTACTACTTGTCTACTAGTTTGTCATACTGTGACAGCTTATATGTTGCTGTGTTTCAGGAAGCTATGCCATTAATATTTCCAATACCAGCAGGATCATTTATGATAGACAGATTTCAATGGAGCTTCTAGACTAAGACAGACTAGGAAATAGGACCTACTTCTGAAAAAAAAAAAAACAAGGCCAGTGAAAACCTTAAAGAACCTTACAGCAGAACACTGTTTGATATAGTGACAGAAGATGAGTCCCTCTGTTTAGAAGGCATTCAGATTATGACTAGGGAAGAACTGCCTTCTAAAAGTAGAGCCAACCTTAATGACATAGACCGAGCACAGTTTTTAAGACATTCATTTGCTGATGTGACATGACTCAAAATGAGAAGACATAACTGCAAACGTCTATTAATAATTGGAATGTGGAAAGTATGAAGTATGAACCATGGAAAATTGGAAGTTGTCAAAACTGAAATGGAATGCTTGAAGATCAATATCCTAGGCATTAGTGAACTGAAATGGACTACTATTGGCCATTTTGAATAGGACAATCATATAATCTACTATGTTGGGAATGATAAATTGAAGAGGACTGGTGTCACATACATTGTCAAACAGAATTTTCAAGATCTACCCTGTCAATGGCAGGGAAAAAAATATTCATATGCCTATAAGAAAGACCAATTATTCAAATTTAATACACCAACTACTAATGCCGAGGATGAAGAAACTGAAGATTTTAACCAACATTTGTAGTCTGACATTGATCAAACATGCAATCAAGATGTATTGAATATAACTGGTGACTGGAATGCAAAGGTTGGAAACAAAGACAAAGGATCAGTAGTTGGAAAATGTGGCCTTGGTGATAGAAACAATGTCAGTGTGGTGAATTGCTTGATGTGGTCCTTCTAGCCACTGTCCTCCATTCTGTGATGTACTGTAAATCCTATTATCCATGCCTGTTTGGAGTGGTGTGGTAGTTAAGGTCAGGTATCAACTTGGCTGGACAGCTGGGAGTAGTTGTTCCCTATAATGACTGGCAATCGGCTCTATGATGGGATTTGCCTTGAGCTGCTGATTGTTAAAGCCATCCACTTAGGTTATTTCTGTTGGGGCAACACAGGTGGAATATATCTTGAGTCCTGCCTTGTTGGAGGGTATAATTCAAGTCACCACCCTTAGCTTCCTTGAGGGGTATACCTACAAATCTCCTGGGAAGGTTCACCCTCCTCTTGCTCCTGTTTTGTGTTTTGGCTCATCCTCATTTCACCCCTGGACTTGGGACAGCAGCTATCATCTGATCTGCTGATCAAGGTTCATCAAACCCCAAGAATTGGAAGGATCCTCCAGACCCACTCACGGACCTGGGACTCGCCAGTCTGGCAGCCTCCAACACTACTATGTGAGACAATCCTTTGGGTGTCTGTGAGTTCTATGAGGCATTACAGTGAAATACAGAACCCTAAGATGGGGGAAATTACTGGGAGGAGGAGTTAATGTCTGAAATAATGGAGTGGCATGGTAGTTTGGACATTTGGGACATCTTTAACCTCCGCCTCATGGGGACCGGCCTTGTGCTGATCTGAGAGAAATTGTTCAAGCAGTCAGAGATCATATGATAGAATTTTGCAAGACCAATGACTTATCTAAGGGAAATACCTTTTTCAACATGAGATTAGACATATAGATCTCACTAGATGGATGCACAGGAATTAAATTGACTAAATTTAATTAAAATTAAATTACAATGGAGAAGCTCAATATCATCAGTCAGAACAAGGCCAGGGGCTGACTGTAGAACAGACCATCATCAATTGTGCATACACAAGTTTAAAGTAAAGTTGAAGGAAATTAAAACAAGTCCATAAAAGCCAACGTAGCGTATGACCTTGAGAATATCCCACCTGAATTTAGAGACCATCTCAAGAATAGATTTGATGTATTTTACACTAATGACTAAAAACCACACAACTTGTGAGATGACATCAAGGGTATCATACATGAAGAAAGTAAAAGGTCATTGAAAAGATAAGAAAGAAAGAAAAGACCAGAATATATGTCACAAGAGACTCTGAAACTTATAAATGCAGAATAGCTAAAGGAAACAGAAGAAATGATAAAGTAAAATACCTAAACAGAAGATTTCAAAGGGTGGTTCAGGAAGACAAAGCATTGAATTAAGTAAAATGTGCAAAGACCAAGAGCTGTAAAATCAAAAGGGAAGGAGACATTTGATATTTCTCAAGCTGAAAAACTGAAGAAAAAATTCAAGCCTCAAGTTGCAATATTCAAGGATTCTGGGCAAAATGCTGAACAATGCAGGAAGCATCAAAAGACGATGGAAGGAATACACAGAGTGACTGCATCAAAAAGAATTGGTCAACATTCAACCATTTCAGGAGGTAGCAGATAATCAAGAATCGACGATACTGAAGGAAGAAGTCCAAGCTGTACTGAAGGCATTTGTGTAAAACAAGGCTCTAGGAATTGAAGAAACACCAAATGAGATGTTTTACAAACAGATGCAACACTGGAAGCAGTCACTTGTCTACACCAAGAAATTTGGAAGACAGCTACCTGATAAACCACTGGACTAGAAGAGATCCATATTTGTGCCCACTCCAAAGAAGGGTGATCCAAGGAATGTGGAAATTATTGGACAATATCATTAATATCATATACAAATAATATTTTAAATTCAAAAATGGTTGTAGCAGTACATCAACAGGGAATTGCCAGAAATTCAAGATGGATTCAGAAGAGGATGTGGAATGAGGGCTATCATTGCTAATGTCAGATGGATCTTGGCTGAAAGCAGAGAATACCAGAAGTTGTTTACCTGTGGTTTATTGACTATGCAAAGGCAGTCAGCTGTGTAGATTATAACAAATTATGGATAACACTACGAAGAATGGGAATTCCATAACACTTAATTTTGCTCATGTGGAACCTGTACTTAGACTAAGAGGCAATCATTCAAAGAGAACAAAGGGATACTAGGTGGTTTAAAATCAGGGAAGGAGTGTATCAGGGTTGTATCTCTTCCCCATACTTATTCAATCTGTGTGCAGAGCAAATAATTCAAGTAACTATATGAAGGAGGTCACTCCTCGGAAGGAAGGTTGGGCAATCCTACTTCCGTAGTGATACTGCCTCGGAAACCCAAGGAGGGGTCGCTATGAGTCGGGGCCAACTCGACGGCACATAACAACAACAACAACAACATATGAAGGAGGTGACATCAGGATTTAAGGAAGACTCATTAACAACCTGCAATATACAGATGAAACATTTTTCTTGCTGAAAGTGAAGAGGACTTAAAGCACTTACTTATGAAGATCAAAGACTACAGCCTCAGTATGGATTACATCTCAACATAAAAACTACAAAAATCCTCACAACTGGACCAATAAGCAACATCATGATAAAGGGAGAAAAATTTAAAGTTGTCAATTTTGTTTTACTTGGATGCATAATCAATACCCGTGGATGTAGCAGTCAAGAAATAGAACATATTACGCTAGGTAAATCTGCTGCAAAAGACTTCTCTAAAGCATTAAAAAGCAAAGATGTCTCTTTGAGGACAATGGTGTGGCTAACCCAAGCCATGGTATTTTCAGTTACCTCATATGCATCCAAGGAGCTGTGGCAGCATAGTGCCTAAGGCATTTGACTGCGAACCAGAAGGCTGGCAGTTCAAACCCCCTAGCCACTCCTCGGAAGGAAGGTTGGGCAATCTACGTCCGTAGTGATACTGCCTCAGAAACCCAAGGAGGGATCACTATGAGTCAGGTCCAACTCAATGGCACATAACAACAACAACATATGCATGCAAAAGCTGGACAATGAGGAAGGAAGACCAAAGAAGAAGTGATGGCTTTGAATTTGGTGTTGGTGAAGAATATATACTATACCACAGATTGGCAGAAGAACTAACAAGTTTGTCTTGGAAGAAGTATAGCCAGAACGCTCCTTAGAAGAGTGGATGGTGAGACTTTGTCTCACATACTTTGGACATGTTTTCAGAGGGATTGATCCCTGGAGAAGGACATCATGCTTGGTAAAATAGAGGGTCAGTGAAAAAGAGGAAGACCCTCAACAAGATGGACTGACACAGTGGCTGCAACAATGGACTCAAATGTAGCAACAATTGTGAGGATGGGGCAAGACCAGACAGCGTTTTGTTCTATTTATTCATAAGGTAGCTCTGAGTCGAAACTAACTTGATGGCATCTAACAACAACAGCAATAACTTTTGTATATGTTTCCAAAATTTCCATCCTTTTTTTTTTAAAAAGAAAATTAATATGTCAGTTATTGCCACCAAAATACGTGTTACAGTAGAATAAATCTTTTAAAATTTTTACTATTTGAATAAAATATATAGGTTTAGTTGTTAGCTCCTTTTATTATTACATTCTGACATCCATTACTTGGTTTGCAACACAAACTAGTTTTAATTTACAAGAAACAGGTTTTCATGAAGCCCCCAAGACCACAGCCCCTAGTTGTCCTTCAGGCCTAGAACTAAACTCACTCCCATGACTTCCAGCCAAACAATAGACAGGCAAGTACGGTGAACATTTACATCAGGAAGATAGGATCTTTAGAACAATCGATTGTAAGACAACAGAAAGGCAGTTCAGACAGGGGTATAGTTCAGACGCAGGAATGTATAGGAAAGAAAAACACAGGGAAGAGGTAACTACAGGGAGTAAGTGGAGAAGAGAGCTGTTACTTTGTAGGGATTGCAGTCAATGTCATGAAATAAACTGTGTATCAACTGCTGTATGGAAAATGAATTTGCTCTGTAAACTCACTTAAATCACAGTAAGAATTAAAAAGACATTACTCTATAGATATAATTAATCACCATTACTTAGTACCCAGGAAGAACTAATTAGTGAATATAACCATTAAATAAGTGAGCAATCAACTTCTGGATCAGAAGCTTCCCATTTTCTTCATCTCGAAATTTCTGATTATGTTAAAGCATTTGATAGCTTTTTAGACATTTTAAGTCTCTATTCACTTACGTCTTTGGAGTAGATTGTAAGGCAAACCTTTGTTGTTTTTTATAACTCCCTTTCACTTCGAGCATCCAGAGCATTATTCATCAAAGCCATTTATCCCTCATGATAACCGATTGCTATCTTCCCCTTAAAGTGAAGATTTAGAGAAAGGTCTTACTTAAGAAGCAAGTGCCTGTGGATGTCACTGCTGAACAAGGGCAGCGAAGACATTCTCTAGTGGCATTAGGGCTCTGATAAAATCCTTCTTTACATTCTTCACAGTGATCCCCTTTGCTATTTCCCTGGCAGTTTAAACAAACACCTGAAAGAAAAAAAAATAAATGAAAAGGTAAAGATTAACTCTAAAAAAGTTGTAATTTTGAAAAATCATGCCTGCAGTAAGAGTTAACCAGAAAAAAAGTGGTAAGTATTGCACAGAGTTGAGTTCCTATCCCATTCTATTTCTGTAAGTTCTAAATTGTAAACCCTTTAGAGAAAGGCTAGGTACATTGGTGCACCTTGAAAATATTATGATAAATGAAGAAGTCAATCACAAATCCACACAGATAAAAAGTAGGTTAGTGATTAACTACAAACCAAAAGCAGGCTAACTATTTGCAAAGGAAAAAAATGAAAACAATCTAAATATCTAGTAATAGAATAACATAAATTTTGGTACTTTTATAATCAGGATACTCTAGTAAACTAACTAAACTACACTTATATGTATTAACATGTATAAAGCTTAAACATTTTGGTCAGAAAAAAACAAATGCAGAAGGATAATACTTATGCAAAACCATACTAAGCAACACTAAGTATATGGATACACCATCCAGTAAGCATATGAATACACTTGCTCTGATTATCTCTGTGGTAGGAGAGAGAAAACTAGGACTTGGGAAGATCCCAACTTTATGTGAAATGTTCTACTTCAAATATATAACTACATCACATATGTATAAATATGAAGCAAAATGCAAAAATGTTAGTATTTATCAATTCTGCGTGTGGATACATAGAATTTGTTATATTATTCTTCATGTGTTTTAATATTTAAAAATCAAAATAAAACAAATTAATAAAGAAAATTAAAAGGAAGAGGGCAAGCAAATCTATACTTTAAAATATCACTCCTCTGGTACTCTATTAAAAGGGTGTCCCACCAACACTGAAGCAGCATGACATCTGAAAACAGGAAATGAGACGTGTAGTGTAATTTACATTGCTTCTTTAGGGGGCCACAGAGATTCAAAGGGACACTTACAACTACTGTTACAGAAATAAAAGAGTAAATATTCTACATAGAAATCTAAGAAGATTTTTACATAATAAGCTAAATACTGTTCAATGATAAAAGTATTAACAGTTTTGTGATTTGATTTCTTTGTATTAGTGAAATAGTTACAAAAAAGAGAAGAGAAAATGAGGCTGAGAAAACAAATGGTCTGACAACTGAAGCAAGAGCTGAAAAACCAAAAAAATAAAATGTTATTAACATTTATGTCAGATCTCAATTTTCAACTGATTACAAAATTCCCCAAAATGTTATGAACTTAACAGAAAAGACACCATCAAAACTTTATTACAGAACATTTAACTCTGAATTAAACTTTCAAGTAAATATCATCACTTTTATTCATATCATTTTTCAAGGCCTGATGGTGATGATTTTTTCACACATACAGCAAAGTAGCAATATATTCATAGAGTCATAAACACTTGGGTGTTGGCTTCTTTCCAGATCATCTCATATCCTGTTGTTGTTTTTATGTGCCATCGAGTCAGAACCGACTCATATATCCTGATCCCTCTATAAATATGTGTCTTTGGAATAATGAAAATAGCTAGAAAATTACAGATTTCAAGTACAATAATTAAATAATCTTAAATGCCCAAAGTGTTCTGCAGATTGGAAGAGTCAACACCTGTATTGTGTGTAAAATCTATCTACCTACTCTCCCCCTATTAAATGCGTTCAATGGAAATATCTTTTAAGGAAAGAAGTTCTGATCAATGCTAAACTTTAGTATAAAAATACCTCAAAAAGTGAAGAAAATCAAGGGCATTTGGAAACAATTAGTCCAAGGATATGATGGGCCTCGAGACCAGAAGAACTAAATAATACCTGGCTATCAATGCCAACCACTTGGGAAGGGATCAAAACTGGAGATCCTGGATAGAGTGGGAGGAAAATGTGGAACAAAACTCAAAAACACAATAATGACTAGAATTACTAGTCAAATGGAGTCTGGTGGGACCCCCAAGACTATAGCCCTGGGATACCCTTCGGGCCTAGGATAGGACTCACTCCCAAGGACTGGCCCTCACCCCAACAGCAGAAAGACTTACATGCATGCAGAACATCCAACTCAGGGTGATGCACCCATCTATTCTACAAGACACACCCTTGGAGCAATCGGCCATGGGATACCAGACAGGCAGCATTCACATGGCGGGAAAGCTGGACAGTTTAGAAGGGCACAGGAAGGGAGGGGTCACAAGGAACGGAGGGCAGGAGAGTGGGCTAGGGTTAGGGACGGTAATCAGGGTGTGAAATCAAATTTACACAAACTGTTGATTGTAAAACAAATCCTGCTCTGTAAATTTGCACCCAAAGCACAATTCAAAAAAAAAGCCAACAGTTCCATAACAGAAAAAGGATGTGTAGGGCAGGATACACTCCAGTAATAAGCCCTCTGTCTGCAACTAACCTGTCAAGAAAAGGTCATGTTGCTACCCTTATTAAAAAATAGTAATATATACATACTTTAAATACTTGGCACCTTCAAAATGACACAGGTGTTATTTGGCTCACATGCTAATTATTTTGGTTTTTATTATTTTTTTAAATTCTAAATAAGATCCCAAGCCTTGTGTTTATCATAATATATTTTTCTCTCTTAAACCATTTATATTAGACTGTTTCCACTTCTCTCCAGAAGGATTTCCTACTCCTATTGATTTACACCATGACCTACAATGAGGAGAAATCAATGAGAAAAAACAACTTCACATGGGAAACATGTTATCTCAAAACCAAAAAGGAAGTGATGATGGTTCCGTAGCATGTAAACATAATTAATGTCACTGAATTATACATGTGGAAAATGACAGATATTCTGTTATATGTATATCTGGGCCACCATCAAAATAAATAAATAAATAAATGCAAGTACTATATGCCAATTAACTGCATAAAAGTCATCAGTTCTTAAAAACTCATTACTTTTACTTGCTTTTAAAATAGCATACACATGAACAAAGCTATAGAGAAAGAAGACAGACTAGATATAAACAGACCAAAAGCTAACAAAGAATGGTGAGGTGCAATAGTCTTTTTAGTGTTTTCGACCCACCTTGAATTTTCAAATTATCTCTAGTATGCATGTATTACTTTTACTTTTTACTATCTTGATTTTTTCCTGATTATAACATTGTAAAATATATCACGTTATAAAATATTTGAAGAACTCACGCAATCTCAAAACATTTCATGTAGGAACTTGAAACTACTGAATGATTTGTATAATCAAAATAAAGATCATAACCTTTAAAACCCATTTACAGTAGAAACAAATAATGTGAATTTACTTTTCTGACCACTTACAACTCCTCTCTGAGAGGCAGCACAGCATAAGAAAAATGGTATGGGACTTAATGTCAGATCTGAGTTCTATTCCCAGTTAAGCTTCTCACTAGCTATGTGACCTCAGACAAATAGCTTCTCAGTTTCACTTTCCCAGTCTGTGAAATAAGAGAGTAATGTAATATAGGTAGTCCCTGACTTACAGTGTATTCCTACTCCAGTCACCACAAACCGCATTTATAAGCATTGGAGGGGGCAAGGGTTGGCTTCTGTAACATGCAAATAATTGGAGAAACAGGAAGTGTTGATGTTGAAGCTGTAAATTTCTGTACAATGGTTCCAACCCCAAAAGACAAATAAGATCGGCTTTATAAAGATGTTGATAATAAAGGCAATAAAAATGGAAACTAAGAAAAGAAAGGGGAAAAAAGGTACTCCAGTTACTTCAGAAGCTCATTAGGATGGAGTCATTGGAACAGAAGCCTATCATAAGCATGGGACTATCATGTATGTCAAAGGGGTAAAGACTGCTTCAATCTCTTCATCTATACATTAAGAATACTGAACTAAATGAGATGTAGCTTTCCTTTAAAACATAAAGTTCAGGGATCTCCTTTTATAGTAAACAATATATAAAAATTAGCTGAAGTTTAACTGTTCATTATGCTCTGCCTAGAACAATGCTGTCTTAAATTCACATTTGCTTTGCTGAAAAATGGCCAAAAGGATGGATCACAAAAAAAAAAAAAAAAAAAAAAAAAAGAAGAAGAACCCAAAAAATAATTGAGTGTTTTCTGAAGATGACCTCATGCTACTTGGCTACACACCTCAAAAATGTAGTATGAGTAACCAAGAAACTAACTGGCCAAAGGAAAGAAGGCAGGGATCCTTTTCAACCAAATTCTGGGATGCTTTGAAAATGTAAATTACCACCTGTGAAAAGCCTTTTCCTTATTTCCTTTGCCATTTCATACTTTATATATAAGCCTACCCAGAATACAGCAATATACTTTGTTGTAGGAAGAAATGTCTGATTCTGTCTGCAGGACCGGAAAGCAAAGTTGAACCTTTCAATCGGAATGAGGGCCAGCACAGTTGGGCCTAAATGAACAAGGGAGGAAGTAACAAGAGATGAGGTCAGAAAGACAGGCAGGAGCCAAAAAACACAACATGCTGGAAGCCGTGGAAATTGAAATTTTATTCCAAGAGTGATGAGAAGGCATTGGAGGATGTAAGCATGGGACTACATTTACATTTTACATTTTACATTTTAAAAAGATCACTCTAGTTGCTATGTGGTGAGCGGACTGTGGTGGTGGGGTGGAGGCTGGCAGGAGTAACAAGAGAGAAGGCAGGAGACCAAATGAGAGGATGCCAAAGCAGTTCAGAGACATGATAGTGGCTTGGACAAAGGTGATACCAAAGAAGGTCACAAACAATGGTTAGATTCAGGGTGTATTTTGAAAGTAGGTCTGATAGAGCCTACTGATGGATCAGATAGTTATAGTAACAAAAAGAAAGGAAACAACTACTACTCTTAGGCTTTTGGACTGAGCAACTGGGTTGGGGTAACCAAAATGAGGAACACTAGGGATAAAGAAGGTTTCGGACATAGGATAAAATACAGAGTTGATTGGGATGTGTTATGTTTGTGACATCAATTAAGGCATTCAAATAAAGATATCAAGCAGCCTGTTGCATACTTGAGTGTGGAGATCAAAGGAAAAATGTAAATCTGGTGATCAGCACAGATATAACCAGATACTGTCAGGTCAGCTTGGACTCATGGCAGCCCCACGGGTATCAGAGCAGAACTGCGCTCCACAGGGTTTTCAATGGTTCATTTTTCAGGAGCTCAGTAAGCCTTTCTTCTAAAGAAAGGACTTGAACCTCCAACCTTTTGGTTAGCAGCCAAGTGTGCTAGCTGTTTGCACCACTCAGGGAGTCCAGCACATATATAAATGGCATCCCAATTAAATCTAGGGGAATGAATGAGAACACTTAAGGGAAAAATGTAGATGGAGAAGAGCAACACATCAAGGATTGAGCTGGGAGGTGCTCCAGTACCCAGAGGTTGAGTGAGGAAGATCTACCAGAGCTGACTCAAGAAAGAGCTAGTGACATAAGAAGAAAATAGGAAAGGTATGCTCTGAAGTGAAGGAAGTCACTGAAGAGTAACCCAAAACCAACCAAAACCACTGCCACTGAGTCCAGTCTATAGGGTACAACCAACTATTGTAGACCTTCATGGAAGCAGACTGCCTCATTTTTGTTCCACAGAGCAGCTGGTGGGTTCACACTGCCCACCTTTCGGTTAGCAGCCAGATGCCTTAATGGCAGCACTGCCAGAGTTTCTACTGAGGAACAAAGGAGTGATCAACTTGGTCAAGTTGCTAAGGTCAAGTTACTCATCATGAGATATGATATAGATACTTGAAGGTACAGATAAAGTCTTAAAATAAGATATACTATATGAGGTGTAGTGTCTAAGGCATTTGACTACTAACCGGAAGGTTGATGGTTCAAACCCACCAGCCACTACTCAGGAAGAAGATTGGGCAATTACTTCTGTGGTAATACTGCCTTGGAAACCCAAGGAGGGGTCTCTATGAGTTGGATCTGACTAGACGGCAATGAGTTTGGTTTTTGTTTTCAGTTATATGAACATGAAGTTCTAGTTTTAAAAATAATAGCTTTCTCCCATATCCATTTTAAAGGAAATATATGCTCAGTTTAAAAAAAGAAAAATCTAGAAAACACAGAAGAGTAGAAAGAAGAAAAACCAATCACCCTAAGAAATCACTAACACTTTGAACACTTACACTTCAAGTCTTTTCTTATATGGAGAGGGTTGAATTTCGTAATAATCTATTCATATGGCACAAATCATTTTATAGCCTGCTTCTTTCACTTTCCCATGTTATCACATATCACTCCTCAAAATATTTTAATGGCAACATTAAATAAGAGCTACAGCTGACTGCTTAAGATGAGCCAGACACTGCGTTAAGGGATTTACATAAATATTGCATTTAATCTTCACAACAACCCACTAAGCAGTTACTGCTACTATACCAGATTCACAGATGAAGAAGCAGGTTAAGTAACTTGAGCAAAGTCAACTCCAGATTTGACTTTCGATGCTCTTAACAATATATTGTCTAAATAACATAATCTACTTACTTGCCTATTGTCAGAAATTGCATTGTCTAATTTCTTAGGATTATAGCTACCACTTTGGTGGTCTTTGAACATGAAGCATTTTGTTGTTGTTGTTGTTACGTGCCGTCGAGTCGTCTTAGACTCATAGCGACCCCTCCTTGGGTTTCCGAGGCAGTATCACTATGGAAGTAGATTGCCCCATCTTCCTTCCGAGGAGTGGCTGGTGGGTTTGAACTGCCAACCTTCTGGTTAGCAGTCAAATATCTTAGGCACTATGCCACCAGAGCTCCCTGAAGCATTTTAGGACTTTAGAATTATTTTTTCCCGTACAGATTCTCAGAAACAGAATTACCAGATCAAAGAAGTATTTTTAAGACTTCTGATATATATTGTCATATTGCTTCCCAAAAGGATTTTTCCCAATATATTTTACCACAAAAAAATATTACATTAAAATCTACTTCAATCTAAAATGTAACATACAGAAAAGGCCTGGGGTGGGGTGGGGTGCAGAGAAGAAAAAGGACTGTGAAATTATATCACGTGGCCACCAGAGGGCAACCATATCACAGCACTGTTGAAGATCTCACCCTGAGACAAAAGGAAAGGGTGATTTTATATAAAGCTTATTTTAAATTAAGTATCTGCTGTCTTTTATGTTAAATTCCACTTTCATTATATTTCCAAATAGAGAAATCAATAGGAGTTCACTTTTTCATTACTAACTGATTTTAGAAATCATAATCATGAAAAAAATTTCTTTTGCCTTAAATGTATTATCTCCAAAGCAAAGATAGGTTGGGATTTACCTGACATTAGAGAAAGCTGCCTCACCGCTGCAAATAAAAAACGAGAACCAGGAAAGTAGACTACTTTCTGGTACTGTTAAAGATGTAAAGGGCAGGTTAAATCGACTCAGTATGATGAAGCATTCCTATTGATATCCAGGACTGAAATTCATTTTTCCTCTATCTGCTTTTCCATTCATTTGTTCATTTATCCATTAAACATTTAGTAAGGACTTCCTATGTGTCAAGCACTGTGCTAGACGACTGTATATACTGTAAACAAAACCAATATTGTCCCTGCCCTTATGGAACTTACAATGTAGTGTATGAGTCATTCATGACTCATAATCACACAAATAAATATTTAAGTGCTATGAAAAAAAATACAAGTGTATATGAGAGTATGTAATAGGGGAATTGCAATTTAGTCTTGAGCATCAGGGAATGCCTTCTAAGGAAGTGATCTTTATTTGAAGACCTGAAGATAGAATATGATTTAATATGGCAAAGCGTGAGAGTAGGGGTAGAATAAAGGACCATTAGAGGCAGAAGAGAGACCATGTATGACAACCGAGAGACAAGGGAACAGAGTTTGTTTTAGAAATAGAAGACGATGTGACTGGATCACAGATACTAAAACAAAACTCAATGCCATCGAATCCATTTGACTCATAGCAAGCCCTCCTTGGGTTTCCAAGGCGGTATCTCTATGGAAGTAGATTGACCAATCTTCCTTCCAAGGAGGATAAAGAATAGCACAAGATAAAATTGGCAAGTAGGTGGATGAAATAATAACAGTGCAATTTCTTCTAAGTCAATTTTCTTCTACCATAGAGAATTAGATCAAAGATTTCTACACAGATTTTCCAGGGCACTTTTAATTTTGAGTGTTGTTAGTCTGCTCTGGTCAGACTACTGTGTCCTGGTATTTTTGAGGGAGTAGGGGGGTTTCCCAAGAAGAATCTCTAATTCTTACATTTAGGGTTAACACTTTGGTTAAGACCGTGTGGATGTGGTTTTCTTTGTTTTTACACTGCTTGGGGTTTTTTCAACTTTCTGAATCTGTGGGTTGATGTCTTTCATCCATTTGGAAAATTCTTGGCCATTATCTCTTCAGATACTGCTTCTGTTTCCCCCTCTCTCTCTCCTCACTATCTGAGACCACAATTGTATGTATGTTAGTTTTTAGCTGTATCCCACATGTCTTTTCTGCTCTGTTCTTTCCATTGTACTTTCTCTCCATGCTTCAGTTTGGGTGTTTGTAATTGAGCTGTCTTTGAGTTTGCTAATCATGTTTTTCACTGTGTACAATCTGCTTTAAACCCATCCAGTGAGTTCTTAATTTCAGATGTTGTATTTTTCAGTTGTAGATTGCCCATTTGATCCTTTTTTATACTTTGCAGCTCTCTGCTGAAATTTTTCCTCTTTTCATCTAATTTTTCCCCTATTTTCATTAAATATTAATTTGAGCTACTTTGAAGTCTTTGTAGACTAATAGTTGGATTATCTGTGGGTCTGCTTCATTGTTTTTGTTGTGTTTTGGGGTTTTTCCCCCTCTTTAGTATGGTCACATTTTCCTAACTCTCTGCATTGGCTAGTGCTTTTTGATTCTATGCCAGACATGGCGTACAGAAGAACCAGGGAGGGCCCCCCTTTCCTTTGTTAGGCAGAGAATGAGAGGATCAACTCGATCAGAAATTGAGCTGGATTGAGTTTGGAAAATAGTTTTAGTATAAGTCAGCTCACCTCTGGTAAATCACTATTTTTGGTCATGGCCTGCCAGGTCCTGAAAGACTGCAAGAGACTCAGTATTGCCCTTTGGCAGTTCAGGTCCCATGCTACAAAGCTTCAAAAGTTGGTAATGTCTTGAGAAAGAGATAGATAGTTGTATGTTGCAATAGGTCCTTTCTCTCCAAAGCAATTTTGTCTTCTAAATACTACAGATTGAAAGTGATTTCTTTCTACTCTTTGGCACTGCCCCCTACCTCCTATACAGACAGCTAATGTCCTGTGGTACAACTGGCTTGTGCTTGGGGCTCTTCTAGTTTTCAATCCTTTAGGCAAGCCCCAAGCAATTGCTGTAGCATCTTCTTGTATCTCTTTCCTTGAGAAGAATTCCTTTGCTTAGGCTAAATCTGCTCTTTAGCCTGTGCCCAAAATCAGTAAATATCCACCAGGAAGAAAACGTTTGGTCAACATCAGCTCATCTAGGAAGAGTTTTACCCTTTCTGGGTAGAATTTTAGTTCATCAAGTTCTCATTTCCCCCATAGTTCTCCAATCTTTAACAATATGATTTTTGAACTTTACTGTGACCTACTACATCTAACTTACAAGAGAAAGGCCCTCATTAACTATTTGGGAAGAATCAATCTGTATCTAAAGGAATTCAAAATGAAAAGAACAATGGACCAAGTACATGACAAGTACCTGTGAGGTCATCACAACTGGCAGAATGGTTATTGCATCGGCAGGGCAGGCAGCCACTCTCACTGAAGCCATGATATCCATCTTGGCACTGGTTACATGTAGAGCCAGTGACACCCACTTTGCACTGGCATTTCCCAGAACTGCAAATAAAAGTAAAGACAATGAATATAGGTAAATCAATTAGAAAGTTTTATTGTCTAATATTCTATCATAGATGATCTTAATGTAGCAAACAGTTTCAACTAGTCTCTAGGTACTGAAGTATTAACAGTAACATTTATTTTGAACTGGAAGTTGAAAAACCAAACAAACAAACAAAAAAAAAAAACTCACTGCCCAACGAGTCGGATCCAACTCATAGAGACCCCTCCTTGGGTTTCCAAGGCAGTATCACTACGGAAATAGATTGCCCAACCTTCCTTCAGAGGAGTGGCTGGTGGGTTTGAACCACCAACCTTCTGGTTAGCAGTCAAGTGCCTTAGGTACTACATCCAGGTTGTATTAAAATAATATTTCAGGTAATAAAGTTAGAATTTACAATCAAGTAAATATGACTATAAAGAGGACCTCTATTGCTTTCTGAATTAAATCCATACAAAAATTCTAGATTGTTACCCTAATAAGAAATCCATATAAGAAAAATACATAATTTAGTATTCCATGTCTTCCTATTGACTATTTTCTTTTCTTATGTTCATTATATCAATGATACCATTTTTCTCCACTCATTAAAACTTGAAACTTGGGTGTCATTTTCAATTCCTCTTTCTTCTCTTATCATTACTAAATCATACCCAATATGCCCTCCACTTCTGCAAAATTTTCTTTCAAAATGTTTCTTGATATTGTTATTTCTACAATCATTCCTCTTAGAATGTCTTTTCTCCTCGTCACCTCGGAACAATTTTCCTGCTTTCAAGGCTCATCTTTTTACATGAAATCTTCCCCCAACTGTTTGTTGTACAGCGATTTTCTGGCTTCCTGATGTCACAGTCTCTATATTGTACATTTTTATCTTAATTATGGTCTGTTCTATATTCTTTCATATCTGTAACTCTTGTTTTTCTACTTAGACTAGAGAAAAGGCTTGAGGCAGAGACCATATTATGCAGTTTTCTTATTATTTTTAAGACCTAGCACATGGGATAGTACACTTGGAATAGTGTACTAATACAGTCCAGGGATTGTATCTTAGCCATCTTGGTATCCTCAGAGACTGGTATAATGCCTGGTTCATCATAAACATTTAATAAATGCTAAATAATATATAAACTGAATTTAAGAGTTAAGCACTAGGAGGCAAAAGGGACGATTAAGGGCAACACTAATTACTACGGTTCTTAGAACAGCTAAAACACTTTCCCTTATGTTCAGAATTATACGCTCATTCTGGGCCTCAACATTTTAGACTTCATCCAGTCATACTGAACAGGAGAGAATTTATAGTAGAATTGCCTTTCAATTTAATTTTTGTTTTTTAGATATTCATCTCCTAACAATGAGTCTTTATAGGGATGGCGCTCTGGTGGCATAGTGCCTAAGGCATTTGACTGCTAACCAGAAGTTTGATGTCCAAACCCACCAGCCACTCCGTGGAAGGAAAACTGGACAATCTATTTCGGGAAAGATTTACCACCTCAGAAACCCAATGGGGGTTGCCATGAGTCGGAATCGAATGGATGGCAGTGAGTTTGATTTTTTTTTTTTTGTATAGGGATGTTAATTTTAGTTCAGTAGCCCAAGCTAAAATTCCTAGTACTAACAAAGCTCTTAAGTATACCAGTTAAAGTAATCCCTTACTACTTCCCATACTCCTAGTTCTGTAACAAAAATTGAAGTCTTGTTCTAAATTTGAGTTATTATAACTCTAGATTGAATTTTGCAGAAGGGAGGTAAAGCAACTCTCAAGCACGTGTGTTCTACCTGTAGGCAAACCTGAGGGAAAGAAAACAGGACACGTGTAAATGATATGTTCTCAGCATAGCCCAAGCCTTGTGTCCTAAGAAATCATCTACCAAGCTCTATATTTCTGTCTTGAAACTTCCTAGTATATTGGGTAAATTTCTTGGATAACAAATAACTTTATAGAAAATGTTAAATGTACTCATTTGAAAGCAAGTGTAATAATAAAAACTGAGGGTCTATATTAATAAACATATATTTTCTCTAATTTTCAAGATAACTCTACTAGGTAGAAGTCTCTTAAGTAACTTGGAAAAAAATAAAATAAAAGCAACAAAACAGAACAAAATACAGTCTTATACCTACCTCAACCCATCATCTTATCAAGTTGACTCCAACTCATAGCAACCCCCACGGGGTTTCCAAGGCGGCAAATCTTTACAGAAATAGATTGCCCCATCTTCCTTCCACAGAGCGGCTAGTGGGTTTGAACCACCAACCTTCTAATTAGCAGTCAAATACCTTAGGCACTGTACCACCAGAACTCACTGCCATCGAGTCGATTTGACTCATAGTGACCCCCTCCTTTGGTTTCTGAGGTGGTATCTCTACAGAAGTAAATTGCCTAGTCTTCCTTCCAAGGAAGGTTAGCAATCAAATGCCTTAGACACTACATCACCAGAGCTCCCTCCACAGTCTTACACAGTCATTACAAATATGAAGTTCAGGAATATCTTATGAGTCATCAAGGGGAAGTTAGTTAATTTCAGTCCCACTATACTATCAGAAAGAAGCTCTGGTGGCACAGTGCCGAAGGCATTTGCCTGCTAACCAGAAGGCTGGTGGTTCAAATTCGCCAGCCACCAATCGACTCGATGGCAGTGAGTTTGGTTTTATAATTATCAGAAAATGACAAAGGATAAAATGTACCTTCCAAAATATGGTTAACAACAATTCAATTTCTAAGGCTTTTGAAATGTTAATAAAAATGTGCTTGCTCCTCATTCCTTTAAAGACATTTGATTACTTGGTATACAAAAGGATAAATTTAGTTACTTTATGATGTTTGCCTAACCCACCATCTACAAGAAAAAAAGTATTACCTTAGCATACTTAATCACTTAATAATTAACATCTCATAACCATAACATAGCCCGTGTTCACAAAGTAGATGCTATTCTTGCAACTGGGCTTTCCTTTCATAACTCTGTTCTGGGCACTCAAATGACTTATTTAAGCAGGCTTCTTCCTCCCAGAAGAACTGTTCTTTAATTGCTGATTGGAAAAAGAAATATAATAAAATCCATGAGTGTCTTTATGAGTCATGATAAAGTTGTTGACTAGCATAGATAGATACCATTCTTCACTTTTTCCTGGTAGATTTTAAAACAACAGGAAAGGCTGTGTTTTTCTCTCTTTTTGAAAAAATAGGGACTGCAGCAGGGAAGTCTGGCGGTGAGGCTGCACTAGTGGTCCTTTTACACCATGTTACTCACGGCCCACGGCCACGTCCTGCATGGACGAGAATTAGATCACTCAGCAAACATAAAGATTTGTCTGTGTGACTTCTTTTATAGAATAAAGCCTCTACAACACCCCCTTTCAGGGTCTCCCTCTGTTAAAGACTATTAAATACTTTTTGAAGCAAAGGTCAATGGTATAAAAGCAATGAAACAAACAAATGAAAAGTTCTGTTAACAGACTGTGCTTATAAAAATCTGTAAGTTGACATAAAAGAACCAAAGACCCACAGCTTTATATATGGAAAATAAGGGTACAGAATTGATTTTTGAGTAGGAATCAGCAATTTATACTATTGAGATCCACTAACTGTTTAAGATAAAATGTGCTTAGCCGGCATCACTCAGACATCAGTTACTAACAAGCACTCATGTAGTACAGAGAATTTATCTGGGAAGAATACAGAATTGTGTGCAGAGGAAGCATAAGTACTGTGTGACTGAGCCAAAGTAGACGCATCTAAGCACACACACATTTCTCAATCCCAATGGAAGGGTCAGATTTTCTCATGGCACCAATTCTTGATTATAGAAATGATCACATGAACAGATGTAACTATTACAAAGTTTTAACACTTTACAAAATTATCCCTCGAATGTATATAAACAAATAATATACTTTCCAACATGAAAAGCTACTAACTTTTCAAAAGGAACTTTAATAGGGTATAGTCTCAAGATTTGGTACATATTTACATCACACAAATGTGTTTTTTAAGGTCTGTTCTATTTGGGCTGAATGGGTGAAGAATCTTCAGAATTTCCATTATTTTATAACCACATTGATTAGGGAGAGAAGGGTGGAATACAGGAAGGGAGGTATCAGTGTATATGGAAAAAAATTATAGCCTGCAGAGATACAGACCTTGGTTCACATTATAGCTCTGCTCGGATAAAGTACTTAGTTTTTCTTAGCTTCAGCATTCTCATTTGTAAAAGCAACATCATAGCAACATTTGTAAAGTTATTGTGAGAATTAAACATTGCATACACAGGGTACTTAACACAGTGCCCAGCACATTATCAAATGCAAAAATGAAAGCAACTATGGAGATTATGACAACGATCCTAGATCTTAAGTTTTTTCCAAGAAATGTAAGGAAAATTCCTAGAAGACAAAGACAGGGAACACTCTTAAGTTACTTTTAAAATACTGTTAACAAACCTAGAAAGATGGTAAGAATTTATGAGGTAAATGATGGTGTAGAACAAAAGTGTGGCTAGGAAAAGAGAACACATTATTAACACATGATAGAAACATTGTTTGGAAAGAAAATTTAAAAACTGACAAGGGAGAGGATCTGTAAAATCCTACTTTAGGTAGGACCAAGGCCAGCTGGACCCTAATGTAGGACACGTTTTGGGGCCAACTAGCTAATTGATTTTTTTTTCCTAAACTGTCTAATGTCTTAGCATATTTTATACTAACAAAACATTGTCTATTTTCTTCCTATGATTTGTAAGATAAAAATTATGAGTGTATGTATACCTTTAGATATCATATTATCAATTTTAACTGAAGCAGTCACAGAACTGCTTCAGTTAAAATTGATAATATGATATCTAAAGGTATACATACACTCATAATAACTATAAAAGGCGTGGTCCTGATTAGTTGGGGGGAATCATTTTTGTGGTCATTCAGGGGCTTTGCTTTTCAGCCTTCCTTCTTCCTCAGACACGTTGGCACTCGGACACGAAGAGAACAGGAATGGAAA